TCTATTTGAAATAATGGAGAACGTGATGCAAGAATAAATGAATGTGCACGAATATATTTTCCTGGTTCATTTGGGAAATAAATTATTGTATCAAAATATCTTTTATCTTTATCCATTATTTCTTTATAAACATTTTCTTTTAATCCCCAACCAATTGGAATATCTTCTGAATGAATATCTTTTTTTGATTTTTGTGATTGATTAGCCATATAAATTAATGGATCAACAGGATTATTTAATTCAATTGGTAATTCTATTAATTTTTGTTGTTCTTTAAATTTCATTTGAATTTCTCCTTTAAAACCTTTATTTGAATTATTAGTAAAATGTTTTGTTTGTATCATTTGATAAATACCAGTTGATGATAATTCATTAATATCAATTATTACATCAATTGGTTTTTGAATACTAACAATATGTTCTTCAATTGGAGGAGATGCAATTACTTCATTTAAATTACTTTTATTATTTTCTATTTCTTCTGGTATATCTTTTGTTTCATTATTTTCTTTTCTTGTTATTGAATTTAATAAATCATCTAAGTTATTATACTTTTGATTAGTAGTTGATGAACTAGAATTTAAATTATTTGAATTTTCTCTTCTTTGATTTCTATTTCTATCAATTTCATCAGGTAATATAACTATTGGAGGAGTTCTTCCTTCATTCATTGCATCGAGACATAGATTAGCATGTTCTTCAATTTGGTTTTGGGGAACCATTTGTCCACAAATTGGACATTCAATTAAATTGTTCATTAATTTTTTGTTTTTTAGTTACTTTTTTTTTGTTTTTTAAATAACTCAAGAAATATAGTTTAAATATAGTAAAATTATATCAAAAATAGTTTTAATCAAAAAGTAAAAGAAAAAAATTTAATATTTTATGTTAGCTCATTTCTAAAACAACGATTCTGTCGATTAAAAATCCTTCTCCATCACTTCCATTAATCATTGAATTGTCGACTTCATAAACCATATTTAAAGAACAACAAACACTTTTTGGGATTGTTGTTTTTTGAATTGATAACCATCCATAATTTTCATCACCAAAATAACATAATTCATTTTTATTTGTTGAATGAATGTACATCCCAACTAACTTATCTTTTTTAGGTAGAATTTGTATTGGTTGAAGATGGTTTTTCTTTTTAAGACTGAATAGAAAATGATTAGAATCAGTAATTAATGAATCAGTTGTTTGGATTGGTTTATTCATATATCCTCCAAAAACACTTCCTAATGAATCAAATACTAATACTACAATATTTGAATGATTTAGTATGACGATACAA